ATCTTCTCAATCTCCCCTGCTCCTTTTTTGTGTTTGTTACTCTCTTGTAACACTTCTAATCTTCGGCACTTATATGACCTTATTGTGTTGCAAGTGCCGTAAAACACTTACTAAAACTAAAAACTAAACTAAATCTCAGACAGGGCTAGCCAACTGCTGGCTCTTCAACCTGCAGTGTGGCTGATTTTTACGTATGTGACCGTTTTTCCTACTTGAAAATTACAACACCATGTCATATAAAAATGTCGAAGATTAGACGTATTACAAGCCTAGAGTACGGTGACAAACACAAAAAAAGAGGCGGAAAGATAAGGTTGATAGATGCTTGGTTGGAAAGAAGGAGCAAACCACACCAAAGCACCTGCCGACCACCCACAAATGTGCCACTTTCCCATTTGAAGAAACTATGTTTTTAGATACGTTTTTCTATACTGACTTTCAATTGACGCAATGCTTGATGAAGCCCACGTGGGACGTCCACTGTTAAAAACAACCTTAAAAACAACCGGGAAACGACAAAATGCAGTTTTTGGGACACATGAATAGACATAAAGGTCTAGAACATCTAGCTCTCTCTGGCAAAATTGAAGGCAAACGAGGAAGGGGTAGGCCCAGAGCAACCTAATTAAGGAACCTAAACAAATGGGTAACAGGGAAAGATCAAGGAAATGTAGCTTTTTTAAGAGCATCCGAGCAAAGGAACGAACGGAGAACCATGATCGCCGATGTCTGTCGCAGATCTGACTTTGGATGAATGAATGCTGACTAGGTATTTTCAGTTTTGGTAGAAATAAGACCAATTCATTAATTTGTCGCTTTTAAACACAAGTGGGCTATCCCGAAAAATGTTTTTTTGAGAGAATGGAAGGTAAACGTTTTGCCGTTTGCTCAGTTTCTTTAAAAGACAAGGAGAGTCTTATCTCTAACCAAACAAATACATTAATGTATACACACCACTGAAATCAGCAGACTTCTCCTATAGGTAAGACAATGCCCACTTTTAGTGTAGGTCAAGGTTTCTGGAAACCCCCCGAAATGTGGGTCAGCCCGCTTGTCCTGAAAAGCGACCAATTTGTCATTTATGCCGCCAGTCTGGTCGCGTGATGCCTGGTGTCGACCTGAGATAGCATCAAATCTCCCGCCCTTTAGTCACGTCTGTCTGTCTGTGACTGTGAATTGTTAACGGTCTCCCCCTGTCTGTCTGTCCGTGAAATGTTAACGGTCTCCGCCTGTCTATCTGTCCGTGAATTGCTGTCTGCCCGTGAATTGTTAAAGGTCTCCGCCTGTCTGCCTGTGAATTGTTAACGGTCTCCGCCTGTCTTCCCGTGAATTGTTAACGGTCTATGCCTGTTTGTCTGCCCGTGAATTGTTAACGGTCTCCCCCTGTCTGTCTGCCCGTGAATTGTTAACGATCTCCCCCTGTCTGTCTGCCCGTGAATTGTTAACGTCTCCCCCTGTCTGTCTGCCCGTGAATTGTTAACAGTCTCCATCGGCTTGTTTTGTGGAGTTTTGTGGCTCTCAGAATTAGATAGAGGCAATTTGTTTTTACCCCTGACGTTTATCTTATCGTGTCACTGTAGCTTCCCTTTTTTACTTTTGTAAGCAGTAAATGACAGATGGTGGGAGAATTGTTTCCTTTTCCCCCACTTACGCAGATACAACGATTAAAATTAACTGCATTTATAAAGTGCAATATCCATCACAGCATGCTCTATGCTCTTTACAAGTATTATTACTCCCGGGAGACCCTTCAAGAACACGACTCAGTAATACTTTTGACTTCCTGGGAGGCACACGGTGCAAGCTGCCGATTACACAATATTCTCAAACACTAACAAAATGCATGACAAGATTTCTCGCTGTCTATAGCCGGGTACCCATTCCCTCCTTGGTAATATAAGTAAAATTTGTGTAAAGCGTCCTTCCCAAGAACACAGTATAGAGTCCTGGGTGAGACTTGAACCCGCGACCTACTGGTTGAGAGTCCAAGAGCCTGACCTGAACTAGAACATGAACCCTATCCGTAGGTCGTGTTTTACTATCGTATCCATACAACGTGGGGAACTCTGCCACCACTTTCCAAAGAGGAAATTACTCGTTAATCCGATCAGTACGCGTTGCATAGCAGTATGTCAAAATGGTGTATTGAGAAATACTGAAAGTTTCAAAGAGACCTTCGTACTAGAAGTATACTAAAATGTGAAGGATACAACCCCGGGGGTACAAAATGACCCCAAGGGTGTACTGATAGGGTTAAGTAAACACCAGAGAGCCTTGGATTTGAGAGATAAGTGGCCCCGACTGTATTCCTGGCTTGTGCTTTCATGAACTTTTTTTTTCACTACACAATATGAACTTTTTGTACTTCTCACTTTTACTTTTTGCAGGGAGCATAGGCATGAGGTATACGTTTAATAAACCAACTGGATTTTGAAACAGAAGCCTGGAGCTTGGAGTCTGCAGTAAAAGATGTCGACAATGGGCAACGCCGACGAAATAGATAAAACTCAAGTCAACGGTGGAGGGGATAAGTATGATGCAGTGACGTTGGATAACGGCGACTTGAGCGCAGAGAAAGCGATCATCATCGAAACTGACAATGGGGAACAGCACCTACAGGTTTGTGGAATATTTTCTTTTTTTTCTTTTTTTTTTTATAAGTGTTTTACGGCACTCGCCGCGCGGGACACACCAAGCATTTTCAATTGGTAGGAAATTTTGAATTTTGAACGGGTGGCGGCCGAAGCCTACTCTTATCGATTTTAGACCACCAAGGGATCTTTTACACACGCAACTTGCTCACGGGACCTCCGAGAATTTTCTCCCTTGTCCGAAAAGGCTAGGTGTAGATCTTTCCGACCAGAAGATCACGGGTGTGGCTGAAAGACAGCAGTAAGAAGGATGAGCATTTTCGTACTCCTTGATCATGTGTACGTAACATAATGCCATTTGATTAGAATTCAAAAGTACTTCTTATTATAGGTCTTATTTTCTGATTGGTTTACAGGTTCGAGTGTTGGTCTTTTAAATTATGTGATGGAACTATAAGGTTTTGGCCAGTGATGGGCTGATATGATATGACTAGCTGGGCACCTGTTCGATGAACAAACTCAAAAGAATAAATCTGTATGTTATTGGGGAAGCAGTGCGCGCTGCTTGTGAACGGAAACCTCACTTGTTTACAATAGCGTCTTAGAAGACGGACTTTCCCAAGATTAGATCTAAACGAAACAAATAAAAAACTGAAAACTAAACTACAGTGACTTCAGGCTCCTCAATAAAATTGTGCACCCTTTAAATGATTCTAAACATACATTGATTTGTTCAAATTCAAACGTTAAGTGGTTGGGAAGTTTCAGGCAACCAAAGTGACGGACTTTCACCAATATAATGTATACAGATAATCAGACAAGAATCATTTGTTTCTTTATTTGTTTTATCATTTAATGTTTTAGAGTTTTTCTTCGACACAAATTTTTACATGCGATTGGTTAGCTGTTAGCCTCTCTTAGCTGTAAGGTTCTATAATTTGATTGTGTAGCTTTCCTACAGGCGTCTCTACTGGGGCCTTATTATGTGACCCACTCATGATCCCAGGCTTAGAATTTCCTCATTTTTCTACTGTGTAGGAAGCAATTGTTATTATGATGATGAACATAATTGTTGCTGTTGTATCATTAGTGTTATTATTATTATTTTTATT